CCACTTGATGTAAATTTTTTTGTGCAATTTTTAATACAAGTCTTCTATACGCTTAAGAATTTTCAGTCCAATCCAACTTTTAGATTGTGAGAAAACCTCCAAAAATTGCACTAATATAACTGAGCCACCAACTTGAAGAATGAAGCAAAAATCCCAGCAATAATTTTTCATTCTTCAACCATTAACTTTGATTCAAAATTGGTATGCAACTTGATCTTCAAGTCTTTCAATACCATGCCAAATTTCACCTTGATTCAACTAATAAAACTCTAGATATCATAGAAACCCTACCCAATTCCAAATTGCCAACTTCTAAAACCCTCTTGTGCTAAAAACCAAATATCTCTAAACCACATTGTTAGATTATCACAAAATTTTGTATAAATTTAGCATATTTAATAATTCAAATAGTTTCAAATTTTTGAACTATCGATGTTACTCCAATTGTATGAACTAGCCAAAATTGCTAGTCCTAATTATATTATATAAAACCCACATCACCAATACAAACCCTGATTTTGAACAATAATTTTTAAGTTTTCAAAAATCCTACAAAAATAATCCTTATGCCTCTAGAAAGCGCTTCAAGCTAGCTCTTAAATTCTAACTTCCAATCTTCAAATGAATTCTTAATTTTTCCTAAGCGGTCAATTTAGTGACCAAAGATCTGATTTCAACCTTGTCTTAGAAATGGTCAACCCCGAGGTATCAATCTAACCTATCTTAAGGATTTTTTAGCCCAATCCTAGTGTCAACTTAATCCTAGTATCAATCATACCAACTATTTATCTCTTCTACCTTGATTTTATCAATTTATGGCCTTTCTAAGGTAATAAAAGAGTTTTTATATTCTATAAGGTAAAAATATTAATTAACTTTTAACTACTTGCTATTAAGATAAGAAAATAGGCTAAGAGGCTTTCATAAAAGCCTTATTAAAATATTTTGAATTCTTGTTGGACTAATATAATAGAATATTAATTAAAAAATCATTTTTAGTCATATTTTCACCATATAATTGTGTCACAACATGACAGCGTCATAAAGAAGGGGAGGATGCAACCTTTGAAGTGATAGTTGTGAAATATTTAGAATAATATAAGTCAATAGTTTGAGTTCATGACCATAGCCTATTTATATTCTTTTAGCCTTGTCTACTTTATATGATATGGATAGTCAAGAGATAGATGCCTTGCCGGTCATACCATCTCAACCAAGTAGCTTGCGGAAATGATCTCAAGATAAAGAACTATCTAAACCATGAAGACATCAAGAAATACCTAGTAATAGGTTGTTGGTAATTATGTTTGAGATAGAACCTGCCTATAAAGGATATCTAGAAGGAGTGTTTGTAGAACAATTCCATAATGAAAATACCCAAGTTTATGCTTAATCACAAGTAGAAGGCTTGAGGCACTATTGATGGCTACAAGGGCCTATGAACCATTTACCTCGCAAAAAAAAACTGGAATATATAGCTAACACCATGTGACAGATCTTCAACTTCTTATGCATATATTAACTTACTACAACATTGCTTCTCAGAGATGTCAAAGCTAGAAGAAGAAATGATGTCATGAACATACAACTAAAGAAGATTCTAGAAGGTTCTAGAAGGTTCTAGAAGATATCAATAGATTCTACGAAGGCTTTTGAAGGTTCTAGAAGGTTCTAGAAGATATCATAGATTCTACGAAGGCTTTTGAAGGTTCTAGGAGATTTTAGGAGATTCTAGAAGGTTTCGAAAGGTTCCAATAGATTCTAAGAAAGTTTTAGAAGGTCATAGGAGATCTTAGAAGGTTCTAGGAGGCTTTAGATGATTTAGGAAGTTGCTAAAGAAGAATCTTAGGCTTATTTTGTTTTCTAGCTTCACAAAAACTTCTCAAGAAGCTTTTTAGGACCTAGTATATATAGGAGTCAAGGCTGAGGGAATCCTTAGTCTCAACAACTCGCTTCTTGTGATCTAACCAAGACCTTCTTGTCTTATATCTAGTTGTTGTTTTAATGTCTAATTAACTCCATTCCTTGGTCTTAAATCCTTGTCTTATATATGGTCCCTAACATAACATACTAATCAACTATAAATATGTGTAAAATAGAAAATACATCTATGAAGCTTCTAAAAAGTTTTTTTTATAACATATTATAAAATTAATCTACTTTTATCTACTTCTAGCTAATCATATAGGTAATTATTAAAATAAATATGCATATCCATGACATGCACTCACCTTCTTTTTTTACTTTTATTATATTCTATATTTTAAATTTTTATTATATTTTATATTTTAAATTTTTATTAATTACCTCTCTAGGGCTTTTTTCAATAATATAGAATTGTAGCAAAAATTTGATCCCTCAAAATTAATATTCCGACATAGACACTTTTCTTCTTTCCCTCCTTCCTTTCCCTCCTCTTTCTCTGCACCCACTTTCCTTGATTACAAAAATATCAGTTTGAATTTCTAAGAAAAAAACCAACTGAAGGATCATTTTTTAACTCAAAGTTAAGAGCTAATTAGACACTGTGAAGTTATGGGCTAATTGGAAAGAAATATACATAGTAGTGGTGCACATTAGAATGGTAAAGATAGATAATCAAAAGCAATCAAAATATCAAGACTACAAAAATTTCTTCTTATTTAATGTGATTTTCTTCTAATATAACATTGAAATTGACTGGTTGTTTGTGGAGAAGAAACACAAGCTATCTTCATTTTATTTACAACCAATTATGTATGGATTTTTTTCATATGGCTAATGTAATTTTAAATATCAGAAGCACTCATACCAACTATAGCATAAATATAAACAAAGCAATTGCAAATCCATAATCAGCTGCCACATGTATCCAGCTCTATTAATACAAAAATTAGTTTTTATTAGTCACTAGAAATTTATTTTAATTAGAATTTAATTCATTTCTGGAAGGCTCCCAAACTATTGTTGACTTTAAAATGTCAAACTTAGTAGATAAGAGATTGCCAACATAGCCGAAATATGATCCTTTGTAGATTGAAAATGAAGGGATGGTCAACAATAGATTGGCTACCTTATATGTTGATATTGGATTGTAAAATAGACAAGAAAATAGTATGCAAGTACTAAATCACAAAAAACTTGGTAGATTTTCTTTTATTAATACATCCATATTCTCTTGTCATAATTGGATGTAGATTCCAAATTTTATTGTTAATTATTAATAAATTTGATGTTCTTATATTATTTACTACTTAGATTTTTTTCTATATATCTTTATTGTTGACTAATTGCTCGATACATCACAATTATGATTCCAATTGTGGATATTTTGAACTTTTGTGACTTATTATTGTAAAATTTAAATTTGTAAGCTTTCCAAAATTCAATTCTTGTATGGTTTATATTTATTTATTATGATAGTCTTTTTTATTTATCACTCATTTTTTCTTTGCATACTAAAATGGCTCTCTAAAACTCTTTGAATAATTATTTCTATTTAACAAGAAGATGAATCTATAACATAAATTAATGATGACTTTGATGTGATACTATTATTTGTAATGATTTTTAATAAATCTAATATGTTTGTTCTTTTGTAAACCCTCAAGTTCTCAAGGAAGTAAATTTTGGATATAATATGATTTTATTACTTACAATGATATATATATATATATATATATATATATTTATATTATTATTTATTCATTTGTAAAGATGGATTTGATAGTAGATTTTCTCCTTTAAAAATATTTGTTTTCCACTAAGTATCTAAAAGACCAACCATCAAGAAGAATAAGCTTAGAAGAATAAAAATTTTTCTTCCAACTAAGTTTGCTATAATTACATATTTTTGTATGTATTGTCAAATTTAATCATACTTTGTAATAGAAAACTAACATAATTATGAGAGAAAGTAAAAAAACACTTCCTCACCACAAGAATTTGTTAAATGGTACTCAACTTGTTGTGTATGCTTAGAGTTTTTGGGATATTTTATTATTTTTCTTAATTCAATCAAAACCTTACTGCTCCAATTATACAATCAAGAATTGTCCTCCACGGTTTCATTTCCACAATTCTAACCACAAACAACATAAGTAACCATCTTAAAATCCTAATCCAACTATGGTCTTTTCTTTCTTTCTTTAAACATAAATCTATTCTCTACAACCTCTAGAATTTCCTAAAGCTCTCTCTCTCTAGCTCCACCCTGATCACGCAGTATCACTTCAAGCAGTATTTTCCATCCAAACTTCTTGGAGCATGCAAAAATTGTTAGACCAAGTGCATCGACATAAGGAAGCAATGCTTGAATGCTCCAAGCAGTGCAGGAAGTGAAACAACTGGGTCGGAGCAGTCGGTATGCTATTTTCCTCCAGCCCATGCGAGATTTAGTATCAAATCCGTTCACTGCATCTAATGTACCACTGTTGATGCATATTGCTGGCGTATATCCTTTTGGATGTTGAATAATTGCTACGTTTTGTGAACCATGGCCCTCATTTCACTTGTCTTTATTACATTAGCTGCGATTTTGTCATGCAAGGAAACAGTTGCGCGCTGCGAATGCCACAACCGGGAGAGTTTAGAGTCCACTGCGGTGGGAACCCACATTTCCGAACGCTCTTTGCTGATATCCTTGGATAGTTTCTGTATGTATCGTGCTTCACACATCCTGCTGTTCTCAAATTCACTCGAACAAACAGCAAGCGAACGCTGCCATGCATGATTGACTAATTGCAAATCCACGTGTACAGCGAGGTCAATGTACTACTTTTTTCATCGATTAGGAGTGCAAGAACGGGTTCACAGATCAGTCTGAAGTTGGGAAATGAAGTCCAAAGTTCTGATATGAAGCTGAAAGGGAGTCAGTCTCAACAGAATATCAGTACAAAAAGCCGAAGGCCATGCCACTTCGAACAATGACATAACGAGGTTAAGCAAGGGCACATATGCATTGACAGAACCCTCTATGCAAGTGCAATACAATGCAATTGCGAATCGCGAAACACATGGAATGGAGACAAATAAGTTCGTTCACAAGGTTCGCAGGGCAGCAAGGCCAAACGTTTGCTTTTCATTTTACAAAGGGTCGAGCTGCATTATGCTTTTACAGAAGTGTAAAAGCAATCCTTTGGAAGCAACGAAACCATGATTCACAAGTAATGTACACGCTGCGATGAACCTGTCCAGCATTCTATCTAAGATCACGACTTTCGTTTTATGTGGGTGTAATCCCCATCTTGATTGATAGAGCCTATCCACCATCCAGATGATCGCTCATTCGTAGAATTTGTAGGTTGATGCGGACACAATTATCGCCCTCAAACCTCCGATGGACGAAACCAGCATGAGCAGCACTCCCAGGAATATGATGACCCAGTTCAAAATCCACGAGAAACTGAATGCCTTGGGCTTGACGATGCACAGCCACATGATACACGGCAGCTGCCACAATTTCACAAACACTTGGATAAGTGCTTCAATTCCTAGTCAAACACTACACAAGTACGAGCGCTTAAAGGAAAAGAGATCACTAAGAATAACGAGCTGCAACATTGAGTCGGTAGACTAGATTCTTACAAAGTATGTTGTAGGAGCGAAGGCGAATCCTCCGAAGAAACCAAGAAGAGCTCCAAAGAAGGGGAACGTCATACCGACAAACGCAGTAAAAGCTGCACCATTAACGATGAGCATTACATCTCATGTTTGCACGAGGGGAGATTTAAGGTCATCAATCTTGGCTACGGAGATGGTCAGCGAGTAATTATCAAAAAGACGCCAGATCTGCGTGGGTCACTCACCGACGTAGAGCGAGCGAGTGACGAGCCGTAGCTTCCTGGAGGGAGCAAGCCGGAAGCGTTTCACAAGAACAGACTCTAACATATCAAAAACAGGCATGGCGTAGATCTGGTAGCTTCCAATAACGTGAACGACAACCATGAGGTTCGCCATGGCCACGACCCCCCTCGGCCTACCGACATAACCGAGGATGTTGTCTGTGACTTGATTGCCGTAAGCCCAGTAGCCAATGAGCGCGACGGGGAAGTAACAGATGGCAACGATGATGTAGGCCAGCACCACGCCTCTCCACATGGGGATCTTGGAGGGCCGCTCCTTCGTGGAGGGGATCGTGGCTTGAATCTCCAGGACGACATTGTGGCCTGCGTAAGCGAATGCGACGGTCCCAAGGGCGTTGAAGGCATTGAATACATGCGCTGACACAGACTGAACCGGGAGCTTGTAGTTTACGGGGCCGACGAGGGGTGTGCTATGGCCGTAGGAAGCTGGAATGGCCCACGCGATCGTCGAGTAACTGCACACAAATCGATAGGTTAAGGGAGTCGTTGTCGATACTACCGACCAACCTGATGCCGATTGCAACAGCATTCAATGACCGAATTACCTCAAGGACATGATAGCGGCAGCCAAGGAGACCCCGGCAATGGAGTTGAAGTTCGGCAACTGCGCCAGAACGAAATGCACTGACGAGAAGATTGCGATCCAGGCACTTGTGTGGTGTGCCATCGGGCAGTTGCCTGAGCACACAAGCTTGTAGAAATTCTGCAGTGACGTTCCGCCTGTAACCATGTACACGATATCGACACCGACCTCGACGATTAATTGCTGGGGAACTACGATCCACAAGCCCAGATCGTGTCCGAATGCCTCCTGTCCGAGCTCATGGTACCGATCGAAACGCTTCCCCTCGACCATCTCGTGCATTTCCACCATCTGCCAGAGCGTGTACAGCGTGATCATCCACGACACCACCAGCACCACCACTCCCGGTCCCCTGCATGTGAATAGCCATTCCGTTACTTGTGCCCACTGCCGCAAACTGCAACATGAAACTGTGTGACTCTGAGACGGATTAGACAAAACGTGAGGAGCCCTCACCATGTTAAGTAGACCATGGCGTTGGGCAATCCCAGCACTCCGGCGCCCACCATTGCGGTAACATTGTGGAAGGCGGAGTACCACCATTTGGCTTTGCGATCGCCGGTCACAGGCAGCCACTCGTCGACAGTCTTCACTTTCTTGTGTCCATTCTCCTGCATGTGCTCCTGAACGCCATGTATAGTGCCAATTCATTCGATTGTCAGCGGAGTAAGAGCGAGGACAAATCAGCTCGCTACCAATTCCACCGACATGGACATTAAAAATAACAAAGGTAATCGGATTTATAGAATGTTTCTGAAATCTTGTGTGAAGTTTATAAGCACAAGTGTTTCTGATAGGGGGGGAAGGGAGGTTACGTAATCTTATGAAGCCAAAGTCAAGCTCTGAAAGGGAAGGACAGGGCGAGAAGTTGGTGGAGAACCAACCACCGCAACTACGGTGTACATGTGCAAAGCAGCTGATTCGCACTACCGGACGACTGACATGTGCACATGTGCCTCCAAAGGCGATAGATTGAACACAAAAGTGTTGAGGCAGTACACTAGCGGACTAACAAAACAGGCAGGCGGAACAATTGGATAAAAAAATTCAGGCACTACGATGCACGCAGCGAGGTTCAACTGTCCGCGCCGGAAGACTACTACTAGCTGGTCACCGACTATCCACCCAAATTCCCCACTTCACATCAACATCCACGAAACCACCCCCCACACACAACATGCCCAGTCCTCCACGCGACACCTTCACGCCGACGAGAGAGCAGTAACCAGAATCGATCCAACAGCAACACACCGCCCCACCAAAGCTGCAGCACGGACTCACTCAGACGACACACACAACGGTTCAGTACCTGGAACGCTTCTCGCGTGGATGGGTTGGCCATGGTAGAGGAGGAAGAAGAAGAGCACGACCGTGACAAGGGCTGTAGTTATAACACTCGTGCACCTCGGGCTCGCATCGGCGTGTTCGACACCTGCTAAACTGCAGCCAAAGAGGCAACGCAGACGGATCACGCGAGGGAGCACAAGAGCCGGGTCCGCACCCAACCAGAGATAGAGAGCTGGGAATGGAAGCGACGATGGCGATGAACCCCAGTTTTAGTGGGGCGCGCTGGTTTTAACCGGAAGTCATCCTGTAGGCCCACCTCTTTCTGCCCACCCGTTGTGGGCCTGTTACTAGTCCCTCGCTGAACCCCTTTCCCCCCACCTCTGCCTCCTCCATCCCTCCCACTGCGTGTGAGCGCGGCATCCACACGGCCTTTTTAGTGGGATGGGAAAAAAAAAAGTTCCCGAAACTAGCCGGGGTCGCCTTTAAAAAGTATCGCGTCAAAGTAACGGGCACAGTAAAAGGGCCTAGGTGGTTCTTCTCCCGTTCAGCGTGGCTGGTACCACCTCGGCGCGTAACCTGGTGAGCCCTGATTGGCGGTTCGTGACGTGGCTCGGAAATATGATCCTGTTGCAAGTATGGATTGGTTTTTTGTTTTTATGTCTTTCCGCTTTAGTATGATGTTGTTGGTGATAAGATTAATAATAGTAGTTAATCAAATTGTTGTTGTTGTTGTTATGTTTTGTTTTTTTGATATGAAGCTCAAGTTAAGTTTCAGGAATACTGGGAACTTATACTTGCAACAAACTGTCTTTTTGCCTTTTGTGTGCACTTAATTCAGCTCAACAAATTACATCATTTTCTAATTTTATCAATTACAGTCGTTTCTTAAATTATAAATTAAAGTAAAACGTGATGCTGATGACTGAAAGATCACTAATATGATCTTTTAATAAAGGTTACTTTTTCCCTCAAGGGAATTCCTAAGTGTCATGAATTTGAAACTAACCGTTGTAGTTGAGATGCTGATACCTTCATTTCAATTATATTCAATAACCGGTTTTTGAATCCTTTACTCTGATCTATGGAGGTAACTTTTTAATATTTGATAAATCATCAGAGAATCATCAAATCATGGATACACACCATATTACACAGATTCAGCCCAGCCCGGATTGCCCACGCTCTCCTCCTCCCCCTCCTCCTCCTCCTCCACGGCTGGGAACAACAACAAACAACACCCCCCCCCCTTCCCTTCCCTTCTTTTCTCTGCACTTCTCTTCCCTTCTCTGCTCTTTCCATTTCCTCCTTTTCCTTCCACTCATCATTGAGGGTACCCAAGTCAACATTCCCAAACCCACACGTCTAGGTCCCCCTCTCATATAAGCGATGATTTGGCACGACGTCGTCAACCCACCCAGCACATGACCAAAAACACAACAATAACAACAACATGAATGAACGAAACAATGAATTAATGGATGAACCAATGAATGAATGAATAGAGCGGGGAGGAACGGACTGAGGGAGGGAGGGCTCTCTCGCCACGTTCTTCCATCCAATGTTATTCATCTTTCATCATTCATCTATTCTCACTGATGTACATCCATGAGAAGGGGCGGGAAGGGGGAGTGAGTGGGCTGGGTAGATTGTGGCACTCATTTGTCAGAGGTCACCCCTCCTACATCCGTTCTCTCCTCCCCCCCCCCTCCTAAACCTGCTGATGAGCAGGAGGAGAGCCTCATTATGCCTGAGTTCCGGATGTGGACGGACAAAAGACCCCCCGAAGTCGTCGTCGTCGTCCTCCTCCCCGACTAACTGACTCACTGTCCTTGCTGCCTGGATGCCTGACTGACATGTCCTCCGCTTGGACACGTTCCCAACGTTCCCCATGCGACGACAGTAGCAGCGTCAGACGTTGTGAGATTGTTCAGGCAGCGTGGGCAACCAACCCTAAAGCAAGAAATATACCGGGAACGGGTAGGAAGGGAACGGCGAACGAGGGGGGAGGAAGGGACTCTGAGTTGGCTTTCCTCCACGAGCGGGGCTTTGGAGAGATTGCTCACACAGACGGAAGAGAGTGAGAGATCTGGGATGATGAATATTTATCAATCCTCTCCCGGCCATGTGGTCAACACCCGATTGCCACGTGGCGAATCCCCTGCCGTGTGCTGTCCACGTCAACTTCCTACCTGGCACTCAATGGGGGCCCAGTGTGATCTCGTGTTCTCGTAAGAATGGGTGGAAACAAATAAATAAATAAATAAACTAAAACACACACTTACAGATGTTTTGGATATTACTTACTTGAATATTCATTCCCTCTTTTCTCCCATATTCTCTCTCTTTCTCTCCCTACATTTATATATAACCATGTATATATTTACCCTCACTTCTCTAATCCCCAGCTTGTATGGATTAGTTTTGCTGCTGTGTGATTTGATTATTATCGTAAAGGATGCGGTGTATGAATCTGAAACAAGCATCTTTTTTGGGGAGCGGAAAAGTGAAAGGAGAAAAAAGCGGTCGAGTAGAGGAACAGTGAAAACATGAAAATCATGAAAATGTGTTGCCGAAACAACACATTCCGTGTTGATATGGCATTGCAAACAAGAGCATGAAGAAGTGGGGCTCATATCTAGACATCTAGGGCTACTTGTGTGGGAGAAACTTCAGATTTCGCAACTGTGGAATGTGGTTCGGAAATCACCTAGTTTGGTGGAACTTCCTTCCTACAGTCAGTTATTCTGATGAAAAGTGCATATTGTAGCTATTAAACTAATAAAAATAAAAACTTTTACCTTTTGATGGAGGTCATGAAAACATGCTTTGCTTGTAGTGATTGAAATCAAGTGTGATTGGTCGCAATTTCACATCACATAATATTGGGTGAAAAAATTGGGCCGAATTTTGAAGACTTCTTGCATCTAAATATCAGTCCAACAAGTATTCTGAAATGCTCTCATTTTAGGCATATTACTGCACATTGTTTTTAATGTTGCATAATGAAAGTTCGGATGTTATGTATCCTTACAAAAAAATGTGTAAATGTGAAACGACAACCTGAATCATGTTATTGGTTATTCATGCATAATATCTAAAGCTTTGATTCAATTCAATGCTCAAATCTACACATTCTTGAATGAAATCTTAATTCGTCAGATTGCCAATGAATGAGACGCAATGGTCATTACTGAAGTCCATTCCACGTTTCCCAAACATTTAAACATTATCCCAGATAAAAATAGCTGTGATCAAACCCATTCAACTATAAAAAAAAGCGTTCAGTTCAAAATAAAAATAAAAAACAAATTATCTAATTAATCGAGTTTACTTGGTTGGATGAACGCTCAAGCCATGAAAGGTAACGGCAAATTATAAAAGTTAATCCCCAAAGAGGAAAATTCTAAGAAATAATCGAGTCGACCCCCAAATCAAGTCAAAATGAGTAAGTCAAAATTTACCGTGGGGTGTGATAATAGTGTGGGCACGCTTGTTCTCAAACTTAGCAGTCAGCTCAGAAGTAAAGTCATGATTCCAGAATATTCTTGACTTTCAAATCTTGAGATTGGATCCCCCTTCGATTGATGGGACGGGAGGCGATGAATATTCTCGGATGAACTTACACATCCAAGAAGAACAGAACATCCGGTCAGCCATGGTGTCCCCTCCCCATGTCTTCGCAAGTTCCTGTCTGCCGGATTGGATTTGTTGCCCGGACTCTGCCCGAATGGTTGTGACCCAGCATTGGTGTCCCCGGGCATGGCACCACTGAGACGAAAAGTTTACATCAGTCCCTAAGCTTGGTTCTTAACATGACTCATTTGGAATGTGGAAAGTTTAGGAAGAATTTGGCATAGCAAAGAACCGTTATTAATTGCAATATTTTTATGGGGGTATGAAATTAGTGTGGGTTTTGTATAAGTAGGACCACTTGTTGGGATATAGAGTTTGTCATATTTGATACATCATGGTATGTATATGTTACATGAAATTTAAAAACACGTCACAAATTGTAAAGAATTGAGTAGTTTAACATCCATTTAATATTCAACTTTGTTAAGTAATATGTGAGAATGGAAGAAAAAGAGAATCATAATAAACAATGGAAAAAAACAAACAAACAAACAAAAACAAAAACAAAAACTTGTGGTGAGGGTCTTTTCCTACTTCAATTTGAATTTTAGCTACATACATTTTATTTTGAATTTTAGCTACATACATTTCATTTTAACACACTTGGAAAGCATGGAGTGCTAATAAATGTAAGTAAAATAATAAATTAAGAGGTTTTTAAGCTGCTGATGGTCATCCTACAATGTTCAAATAATGATCTTATCATTGATTTTCATGATTCCAACTATTGTTTACTTGATACTGCAAAACAATCTTTTCTGAGATATGCTCCAAAGTTAGAATATTTCCTTAAAATATATTATCATAGGAATCAAGCCACAGTTGATAAGACTCTACTTTCAAATGTTATGGAAAATCATGTGTAATTTTAAATTCTAGCTTTAGACTAATAAAGATTTGTTACATCAAAAAATAATACCTATAAATTGTAAAATAAGACTTTCCAAAACTTAACAAGTGATTGATGAATGATGGAACATAATGTGACATGCCTTTAAAACTAATTGCATACACACAATCTTAGCTAAGGAATGCAAAACTATAAAGTAGACACCAACTTACATTGACCATTAAACCAAATTCATTCAATTTGAATATTACAATATTTTTTGTGAAATATGAAAAATACAAAATTTAAAATTTTGTACATTGATGTGTGAGTTGTTTCTTTGAACCATTCAAAAGGAATCATAGTAAATTATGTTTTTTTTGCATTAATATAAGTATTGCAATAAGTATGTAAAGAGAATTCAATATTTAACTCAACTTTTAATGATTCAAATATTTTAATCTTACTTCTAGTAAAGATTGATTAATTTAAAATTTATTACCATTAATCTTACATATATAAATATTTTTATCCTCAATTATAATTTTACACAATAATTAAGAATCTAAATCACTCAAATATCTTAGGTTTGGAGCTTTTATTTATGACTAAGGATATATCATAGATACACATATTTATTCCAATAATTACCTATATGATTAAATAGAAGTAGATAAAAATAAATTAATTTCATATTATCTTTTAGAAAAGCTTCTTAAAAGCATCATAGATATTACTTTCACTTTATATGTGTTTGTAGTTAATTAATAGGCTAGAAACTTGATTTACAAATTAGCCAT